ACAATTATTGGATAGCTTGATGTGAAGGCAGAGTTAAGTCGGATCATCAAAAGATGATACGACGGAACTTTTTTTTTTCTTACCGCAGTATGCATATAAATAATTTATATATTATATATTAATTTATAGGATTTAACTGCAATTAATCGACAAATTTTGTAGGTTCACTATGAATTATTTTAAAATTTTGAGATGTTTTGATATGCAAATGCCCTAATAGTACTCATTTTCATACTTGAGTTTAGATTTGCCCTAAAATTTGATATTAGGTACACTCGGCTGAACCACCACGTAAGTCCGTGGCGTCTTATTACATTTAGTGAGGCTCGGGATTACTTAAACATTAAATTTGTGTCCTCAAATTAAGTATTTGACAACTAATTTAGTAACACCTTATAAGTTAATTAATGGTAGAGTAGATGGAAGTATTAAGTTGTTTAATGGAGATGATAGTCGTAAACGTAATGGTAGCAATTCAATCAGTCTAACCAAAGCTTTTTTTCCGGTTCCATATCTCAGATTTTTGTGTTCCATTAACATAGCTAATTTGGAGGAGAATGACTCATCGTCAGGATACGTGAGCCCCCCTTGCCTCTATTTTCTTGTATAAACAATTGAAATCTTATATAAGAGAAAATGAGGAAACTCTAAACGAAATTCATTCAATTGATATTATGTACTAATTCGACATAGATCTCAAATATCTTACCAAATAATACGATGAAGAAGCTAAATTTGTACTATGAATCAAGCAAATTTTTCAAGAAAAAACGTCGATAATTTCTTGATGTTGATCCCCCTCCCCATATTACAAAATGGGTACAAGCTTCTTTTAAAATATGCGGTTTTTCAGAAGGTTTTGTTTTTTGGAAAGACGAAGGTTTTTCAGGATGTGAGTGATGATATCTATACAATGGATTATTCCTACTACTCTTGAAGTAGAATTTCTTTCTCGATGTCCCCAAAAGTACGAGCGTATTGAAAATGTTCGTAAGCTTGAAGTCGACTCTCAAGGTTCATGCTTGAATATTCGTGTAGGTGAGCCATCAGCTATGAAATTCTTGTTCATTGTCTCTGGTCCCATTTATGATTTCCCCTCTTTGCTCATTTTAGTTTTTTTGGGCGGTGAAAATGGCACCACCAGCCATCACCACATTCATGCAAGAGCCTACCTGAGTTTGCTCCGGCAGCGACTGCTAGTCACACGCCGACCACATGGAAAGGAGGCATTTCCTTTTTCTCATTCTTGATGTGATTGGAGAGGAGATAGTTTGTGTCTTGCAGCAATAGGACATGGTGTAACTAGCCAATATAAAAGAAATGTGAGGAAATTTAAATGCAGCAAATCTAGTAAAAAGAATGCATATTCTGCAAGCCATGTGATTGGTTGGTTAGCTGCTTATGTTATGTGATTGATACATAACATACTTTATGGTGATTTAAGGCCCACAGACTCGAAAAAAACTGGTCTTTTGATGCACACTATGGAACTTTTGATTGAGCAAAGTACGTTCTAGTTGTACCTGAATTAAAACATGGAATAATATGTCCAACAATTACTAAACTTTAGTATGTGATAATAATTGGCACGAACGATGATCTTACGCATAATTACCACAGGTGGCTACAAAAGGACTAATTGAGAATCTCATGCCTCTTTGCTTCTGTGGTTGGCAAAGAACAGAATCAATTAAAGGGACTCGAAGCAAAAAAGGAACCATGTACGAGGATTCATTCAATAACAAGTTTAGCGCTTTAATGCAATATAAAATGGCCGCTTTGGTTCATCTTCCGTGGGATAAACAAGTTGACTGCTTTGAATATCGCCTATAGATCGTTGGAGAAGGAAGTTATCATATTGGATGGTACGTACTTTTCAAAATGATCAATATTTCCTTTCCTTATTCTTTTGCTAATTGTTCTAATATTTCCTCCGTTAGTATTAATCGTCTTCAATCCTGATGCTGGATGACAAACTTTTCATTATATTCTTTCTTGATTGGTTCACTCTATCCAATGATTTTACTAGTATATCAATTATATAAGTTTTGTTTCCTACTGCATGAGGACTACCATTCTTCCTCTGGTTAGCTCAAAGTGTCTTTCTTTTCACTCCTCTTCGCCTCCGCACCCAGCTGATTGAACTGCTAATTTTAGTTTGCACTCTGCACGACATCGCCCATGAGCGGCCATATATGCATTCGCCGGCCGAAAAGTCAATCCGCAGAGCGACCAATCACCGGCCCAACGAAACAGGATGAAATTAAGGACCAGCTTCGTGCCTCGTGGTGGCAACAGGGTTTCGCCATTCCTATACCCAAACTTGAACCCACTAACGAAATCTGATACAAAGCCCTACCACATAATTTAAATTAGGAATGTCTTAATTTTGGTTAATCAAACATAAGAAGTATCAATAAATCCTAGTTAGAGTTGGATTTCTAGTTTGAGTCGACTAAACGAGGATTTCCTATTTTGGATATAAATATTACATATACAAGAGGTGGTTTTTGGTTTTAGCATATTAGAGCAAACAAGAGGAGTATTACGGTATTCTCTTTGTGAGTTTTCGGAGTGAATTCTCTATGAGAGATTGTGAGATAACACTTGTTATGGCCTTTAAACTATGCTAGTAACTCAATTATTTTTTCACGATTTATGCCTAGATGGCTTCCGTACTAAACTAAAGGCCATCATGTAAATGTGGTAATTATGAATAGTTGGGTGTTGAAATGTCATGATCATAATTACTATTTTTTCACGAAGCTCATATTTTCTAAATTATTCCAATTCTAAAGATACTGGAAGACATTTGTTAGGCCGAAATATGCAAGTAAAAGGGAGGTGATGATTTTACAATAAAATATAAACTAATTTGGTAGAATCAATCCCAATAAAAATTGTGCTTCTACTTTAACGTAAATTAGCTTTATAAACCACGAGAAAAAAAAATTCCACACGAGATTTATAGAGGTTCATTTTGGGTGTGTCTACTCCTCTTTCCAGCTTTAACAACCCAAATAAACTGAATTCCTTTAGTTATGGCAAAAGTACAAATATCACCTTGTTACAAGTGTAGAACTTGTTGCCACTGCAGAATTCGACTTCCTTCTACAACAACCTTGCTAAACACTAAGTATAGTCATTCTCGCACTTTGTACACACAGCACAGTAGATTCTCTCCCCATGTAAACCACACCTCTGAGTGTTGATAAAGAGTCCGTTGTACAATTTGTCTCTCACCTAAGCAAATGTCTTCTCTCTTATTACGTATAACCACTTCTCTTGTATGTTTACAAATGGATGTGTCATTATTGCTAACTTTTAGGAATACTATTAAAACGGGTATTACAAGTTTATAAAAAGACGAACTCAAAAATCTCTCATCAATGTTTAAATTCTCTTGTAGCTGTTATAACATCTAATCCTCTGTAAAAAAATCTTGGCTAAGTTCCTGGAAACGCACGTGCAAAATCTTGCTTCAATCTGGGCTGTCAATCAAATCTTCTATTAATGCAGATTTTGGTCGCATCATTTCACCAAGTTTCTGAGCAAATTACTTCGTCATTTTTGGTATAAATAATATTTGAATATCATATTTTATTGCAAAGAAGGGGGTCTTTGATTCAGAATTAATTTTCCTGAGTTACGGACAAAAAGATCTAACTTATACACACTCGATAATTACAAGTTCGGATAGAGATAAACTTATTTTGGATCTCTATCCGCAAACTTTTGCATCATGTTACTACGATGTCTAACATGCATTTTTGCAGTGCCAAATCCGACGATAGTTTTGGATGACTTTAGGACTATGTATGTCGATGACGTTCATGATTCAGTTTAAGTTTATCTATGGGGCTTCAATTTATGTTCTTAGGAGATAAAAGTTAGTACTAGAAGGCCGATAGTTGTATATGATATGTAGCATGTGTTTGTCTTTGTTCGCTATCAAGCCACCATTGTGTCTAAGCGAAAAAATTACCAAATAAGTCATAAACCTATTGTACGAATGTCAATTCAATTATAAACCATTCCATTTCGTTAATTTAGTCCTAAACCTTTTGACAATTTATCAATGTAGTCTTTCATGCCAATTTTTCTTGAAAATTGTTGATATGGACAGTGGGCATCCTATGTGGCACAACTGGCACAATCGACAAGACCTATATTGATGTTGATAATTTTTTACATTTTTTTATAATTTTTCTAAATTTTCTATAATATTTTTTCTTTTCTTTTTTTTTTCGTTCTTCCTCTGCCGGTAGCCAAACCCAGCTATAGGTGAGGGTCGACCTCACCGGCAACCGACGGAGGAAGAAGGAAAGAAAAAAGAAAGAAAAGAAAAGAACACAAAAAGAAAAAAAGTATAACAATTTATAAAAATTCAGAAAAATTAAATGTAAAAAATTATCCACGTCAGCGCTAGCCATGCCATATAGGACAATCGGCTTCCACGTCAGCGAGTTTTGATTTGGATAGAAATGCTACATTAATAAATCATCAAAAGGTTTGGGATAAAATTGGCCAAATTGAAAGGTTTAGGACCAAATCAGCATTCGTACAATAAGTTTATGACTTTTTTTTTGTTATTATCCCATCTCCGAACTCAATCTGGCAGCACTTACCGCCACAGTTAGCCAGGCAGCTCCTCTCTCTCTCAAAGAGAAATTTTTTTAGAGAGAAACTCTAATTTACTCTTTAATTCATTTTTTAGAAGATTCTTCATGCAAGCACTTATAATCTTTTGCTTCTTTAAAATGGAAAATCCATGGCGTCTTAGTAAATTCTTGCATTTGAATTCTCGCAGCGAGCAATTTGTACGCTTGCGCCATCTCGAGCAGTAATTTTAAACTCGAAACTTTCTATTTTGATGTCATATAAAATTTTATGAGAACACTATTAACCATTATAAAAGTTTTAATCATTAAATGAATGCATTATTTAATGTCTCCTTCCTCAATCTTTGTTCCCTTGCAATAACTACATTACTTGCATAGCTTTGGCTCAATGGACGTAAAGCTATCTATAGGGGAGGAAGATGTTGGCACGAGCAACTCGATCAAGGAGGAGGTCAAGAAGGATGAAATGGATTCTTTGAATGAAGAAGAAATCTGGAGGAGTCGACAGGAGAGAATCAATAATGCATTGGCGTCTGTGCGAACCGCAGCGCAACAAGATCCAGCAGAACTATCAGCAGCTGTTCGAACACTCGAACATATCACCGATGTCGAAGAATTCATTTCTGTGATCGAAAGGCTCGCCAATAAAATTGATCCGTCTGCCATTTTCAATTACGTGGGACCAGCGGGTAATTCACTGCTCCACGCTGCAACATTACCCGGCAAGGACGACATCCTGAGGCTCTTGCTTGATTATGTCCCTGACCATATCTTGGCCGCCCAAAATGATTGGGGAAATACCCCCCTTCACGTGGCGACTTTGGCTAAGAGCTCTAGAGCTGCTGCTATGTTGATTCGCCGGACCAGAGACCTCCCCAACGTCGAGGAAAAGATCAAGATCCTGAGGATGAAGAACAAACATGGAGAAACCGCTTTGCACATTGCCGTGGGTACTGGTCAAGTCGATGGGGTTCGCCATCTGTTGAACGAAGATTTGGAGCTCGTGTACATGGAGAACGTGCAGCAGGCATCTCCCCTGTACTCGGCCGTCAGATGCAAAGATCCCGCGATGCATGAGGTTTTATTTTCGCTCCCGCTCGAACCATCGAGGATACAAGGCATGCCGCCCATTCTCAATGCCGTCCTTCTTCCAGGCTATGGTAAGTACCTAAATCTGTTTATGGAAATATATATGTTTAGACTAATCTCGTTCCAAATCCGTGCAGCAACTTTCTGCCCTTACCCAAACCGGTTATGTGTTTTCACATAAAATCCTAAACCTCGCTTATTAAAGTAGTTGGATACCCACTGGGTGCTCGCAACCAGCCATATAATTCTTTAGTGAACAAATTATCTCACATTAGAACATAATAGACCACTTTAAATTTACTAACAACAACCATTTTACTAAGGAGAATGAGCGGGTGACAGTTTGTTACTCTCATTGTCAGTAATATGACAGACCGATTTTAACCACAAAATTATTCCACAGAAACCCGATGATTTGTTTATCCAGTTGCAAAGAAGATTGGAGCTGTGCGGCTGTGACCTTTGATAAAGCAAATATTAGTAGAAATGCATTATACTATTATAAAATTATGATCTATATACATATTGCATTATACACAAATTTGGTTCCCTTTTTGCTCATGAATATTATTTGAATGAAACAAATTTTCACACCAACATCAATTAAATTAAAAGGGGGCAAAGCATGAGTGTTATGTCGTTACTCTATTAATAAAACTTTCAAGTATGATCTCTTATTAACAAAGGAAGTATGAACAATTATATGTGGTATTAGTTATAACATGCCGAAGGCACTATTTGATAACTAGTTCACATATAAACACAGACAAAGATAATATTTTGACCTAATAATTGGATGAAGATATCTGTTGTTATTTGATAAGAAAAGGAAAAAGACAGGACAAAGAGAATAGTAGAAAAGGAAAAGGAAAGTGACAACTGCAAGAGAGAGGGGCCAGGAGAAAGAAACGTGGTTATTGCTTAATTGACTATTGATAGCATAAGGATGTTTTTGTCACTTCAAATCCAAAGGTGTGGTTCCATAAAAAATGAGGGTGGAAATAACCCCACCCTGCACAAAGTTACATCTTTAGTTTTGTAACAGAGTAAATTTATTTTGGTAAATGATTTATCAATTCTAGTAGAGTTAGAATATGCATACTTACTAATTAAATAGCCTAAGAACTATCAAGGAAGTAAGAGCATTTAGTAATTGATACAAATTAGGTTCGGATATCAGATTTCCAAATTATAAATCATCATATATTCCCAAACTATACAGGGCTTTTAACATTTGAATAAATATGTCCTAATTCTCATAAAGACGCATTTGCTTAGATGACTTTGTATAAAGATAGTGGTAAGTGGGTAGTTGTAGGTGTAACACTAGAATTATTTTAGAAATACAAAATTCTCACAAGTCATGTATGTGTATATGAGGGAGCAATGCTACATGTATTAAAGTTTTACTCAGAAAATCTTTCTAAATGATATGGTATATGTCATGTTATCAACACAGTCCAGATGAAACAATAATAATGCAATGAAAATTAAAATGGAGAAAGCCATAAATTGAGCAAGATCGAGGCTTTCCTATTCAATCAAAATTATCACTACTAGTTTCAGCATTGCAATGTTATTCAACATCGGCGACTATCAATCCTAGTTGTGATTAAGGTTAGGTCAATAATGTCCTTATTCCAAATTGGGTTTGAATATGTTGAGACCAACCAAGCCCCAACCACTCTAAAATGTTTATGCGGATGTGGTCCCTAATTTGGAGCTCTTGATCCCCAGATGTAGCCAAACGGATACTCGAGAAAAACATGAAGTTATTTGCAATGACCGACTCCAGAGGTGGTAATGTATTTCATTTAGCAGCTTACCTGAATCGGTCCGGAGTATTCAAACTCTTAGGGCCAAAAACTGAATATTTGGTCCAACAACAGGACATGAATGGGGATCTTCCCATTCATATTGCGGGCAAGATGGGTTATGTTGACCTAATCGAGATTCTACTTCCAGTATCACAATCGTTGAACCTGCATGGACAAACCGTTCTTCATGTTGCAGCAAAATATGGGAGAACTTCAGTAGTGAGATATATGCTCAAACATAAAGTATTGGGGATGGCGATAAATGATGCAGATCATGCTGGAAATACGCCTTCACACTTGGCAGCGATGTATTCACAACCTGCCGCTTTGATTCCTCTTGTGATTGATGAAAGAATTGACACCCACGCTATCAATGACAAATGCTGGACAACTTGGGACATTGCTCTAGATCGCTACAGAAGGGAGCCTACGTTACGGAAGGTAGGAAACATGAACAGTCATTTTTTTTTATCAATTTACTGGAAATTTCTATAAACTAATATCTTAGTTAAGCGCGTATCTCGTATTCAAATCATTATGTCTCCCAATCGTTAGCATTGTCAAAGCATTGATCAATTTTCTAGAATAGGCGAGACTCCTCTAGGATTAATGTTCTGCAAATCTCTAATTTAGTCTTAATAGTAGGTAGTTAAAGCTTGTGGCCATGAATATGCCCGCGGGTAGAAACAAGTTAAATATCTCCGACAGGGGTGAACGTGGCTATATATACGGTCGTGGATAGAAGCCGGGGATTGTGTTCCATTCTTTTCTTTTCTTTTTTCTTTCAAAAAGCCACGGGTGAACGTGGCAAATTTTGACCACTCTATATATTGGATAATCTCATAACATTGTGATAAAGTCAAGCTATGACAACGACAAACCATATACATTTCATTCATGCCTCCTCTTTCATTCAAAATGAACTCGTACTTTAGTGTCAATTCTTTAAAAAGAGCAGACACCGCATCATTAGAAATAAAAGTTGCCCTTTAAATGAGTACTCCAGAGTTTTTTCCCGTTATCGACATAATAACGATTTGTTCTCTATCTTTTTCCTTCTTATATGCTCCCGATCTCAGCGATTGACATTAATGGTGTGGGCATCCTCGACAATTGGACAACTTCCATTTGCAAGTGGAACCTTTCTCATACTTAGGCCGGAAGCCCGAGATGAAGCGAATTCAATGTTATCCTTGCGCAAAAAGAAGCTAAACCGGGACCACGTGAAGGATTTGATTAATACCCGTCTGGTGATGGCAACGCTTGTGGCCACTGTTACTTTCGCAGCTGGTTTTGCAGTCCCTGGAGGATTTAACAGCTCGGACACGGCCTCTAAAGATGACCGGGGCATGGCTACTATGTTGCACAAGAGATTGTTCCAGGTCTTCACAATTTGCAACACCATCGCGATGTTCTGCTCAATGATCGCGGTCATCAACCTCATCTATGCGCAGAAAAACGATGTCAAAGTTGCGATAGTGGCAGACCGGCACTCGATGCTGCCGCTAGCAATTGCACTCCCAGCAATGTCTATCGCTTTCTTGACTGGTGTCACCTTGACCGTTGGCAAACTCCCTTGGCTTGCCAACACCATATTTTATTTGGGACTCGTTTTCCTCCTAATTCTCTCAGGCGCTGTATTGATAGAGTACCTTCCCTTACTACAGAGTAATCATCGTCCTATCCGTCGTCTGATATTCTGGCTTGTTCTCGCCTACATTTATTTGTGGGGAGTTGAGACACACCTTTTGGATGACTTGGAAGACGACGGAATGGGAAGCAGGATCTCGGCTAGTCAGCCTCCGGATGGTGTTGGTGATCGAATGATAGACGGCTCGACAACAGCAAAATGTGGGGACACGCCACATCCTCCACGTCACTAATTTCAGTTGAGCATTCGATATTATCTATGATTTGGATAAATAAACATATATTTGCCTCCGTGTATTTTGTTCATTCTGCAGTTACTTTCCGATTGCGTTATTTTAATGCGGATTGTCAAAGTATGTAAATAAAACCATGTCTTCTTCAAATAGCTTACACTTTTAATACTTGGACATAGTCCCATCTAATTTTACATGATACTAGAACATCAAATTTTAAGTTCAAACCTTTCGAGGCCCTATTTACCAGCCCACGCTTGAAAAGTGGTATTAAAGTATATGAGTTAAATCACGACTTTATCTAATATTTTAAGTTCTTAAACGTTCCACGAAATTTCACAGTGATACATGTTGTCATGCATGTCAACTTAATGGATGAGTGGCTCATTTCATCTGATTGCCCGCTTTGGAATCAAATCAATTGAGCATGTAGAAGCTCGTGGTTTTATGGAAACCGCTCGTTCAGAGCGGCCATGGATGATTTACCAGTCCAATTTGCAACACTCTTGAGTCACAACATCGAAGGCACTCACTCTCATGTCCCGTATGTAAATTAAATGATTCTCATCCACTATTTCTCTAGGTCGAGCTTTGAGCAAAGAAAACCAGAAACAATTTTTGAAAATTTCTGTTCACTCCTCACAGAAATTCAATTTTTTGGACCACTCTTTGCACCCCTTTCATTTCCCCACTTCTCTCCTTCCCAAACGAACCATAATGAACTTCCGCAAAGTGGAACTCGAATGAACTTGACAAGTGTTTATAGACCAAGCCTTTCGTGCATGTATACGAACAATGAATCGTCTTCTTAATCTGGCTTAGAGATATGTGAGGATTATGCTCACAATCTAGTGAAGCACTAAACCGAACGGCATAAACATGCTTTTCGTCTATGCATCCAAATGACATGGGTGTTTGATTCATATAGAGGTATAATCTAGTGAGCAGCGGGCACAAAAATCTGATCACATGTCGAGATAAAAAGGAATTGCAATACCTAACTCAAGGAAGGAAAAAATTGTGGAAAAGTAACTAGAAATGTTAATTTTCCTCCTTTAATCTCTGCTTTAATTTTAAGGGTGGCTGGTATCGACATGTTGAATGGAATTTAATGTTATTTTCATCTGATTTATTTGACAATAAACATAGTAAAATAACGGTATATGTCTATTGTCTAGTGCAAAAATATCGATTTACGTTCCTTCCTTCGTCCTTAAGATAGTAGTGTCATTGACTTGTAGTGACATTGCCTCCTCGTCATTGCTAAAAAGAGAGGAACGTGACTTGGGCCCATTCTACGAATGCATAGCGGCTATCCTTACGTTGCATCGATCTGTTATCTTTTTGATTGCCACACGTGTTGACTCAATTCTAGTTCTCATTGTTCCTAATCCAAATACCAACAAACCCTGACAGAGAGCCCAGCCCAAAATAGGAAAGTTTTTTAAAATTTGTGCAGGTAGTTGTCTATAAATATAACCTTGGGATAGGTAACTATGATTATTATTACCATTAAGGATGAGCAAAATGAACCACTTGAACCGGACCAAACCGGCCTTTTCAAGGCGGTTCTCAGGGGCACCGGTTTGATTCCCAATTTCATGTGTGGAACCGCTCACTCATACTAGATTGATTTTTTTTGTAATTTCTTACAAATATGTAAAAACTAAAATGCCATAATCCTTCACTTCAGTCACGCTGCTGCACACTACACGACTCACGCTCGCCCTAATCCTTCACAAGCCTCTTACATTCACATTCTTCACGCCTCTCATGCCTCCGTCACTCTCTTGCTCAACTCTTAGTCACAACTCACGGCTCTCTTAGTCACTCTCTCACTCAACTCTCTTACACCACCCTCTTGCCTGAGTCATTTGCACCCCTCTCGCTTGACGCCTCCCTCTCTTGCTCTGTTTTTGGCCGATTCCGTTTTGAGGCTCGGAGTTTCCGAGCTTTTGCTTCGTGAACTCAATAGCTAATTATTATTCGAATCTAATGATCTAGTGAGTCCACGACCTCATTTCAATGAATTTGTTGTTTGTCTGGCTTTTTGTATTCAGTAGATTTCTTTTGCTATGCCCTGTTTTATTGCGGTGGATTTTGGTCCTTACTGCATTAACGAACTGGTGACGGAATGTTACAGTAATTGCTTTTGAAGTGTGAACTGATACGCCTCCCTCTCTTGCTCTATTGTTGGCCGATCGTGATCCCAAAGATCCTACAATGGATTATGGATTACATGCTTTAAAAAAAAAAAAACATGTCACCGGTTTCATTGGCCCACTCGAGAATCGAACAGGACTGATCGGTTCGTTCCGGTTCCGGGATCAAGTGGGCCAATTCCCGGTTCCTTGGTGGAAACCGGCATACCTGAAAACTGATCACCCCTAATTATCATCATCATCGTCATTGCCAATCGACATCATCAAAGTTGCGGGCCAAGGTCCCTTCGCCCTCATGGATCAGGCCATAAGTCGTTTGCACATAATGATTAATTTGTAACTTTCGACATCTATGGGGACTCAATGTTTCAATTCATTGAGGTCGGACGACAACTATTTTGCATATAAAATTGTAGCATGAGATGCTACTCGAATGCGGAGCCTACTTTTTCTATTTTCCGGCAATCTTCTAAATCAATTAAAAGAGTTACGACTATAAAAACTTGCAAATCAATTAACTTCTTGATGCTTATTTCCTCATAAAATTAGATGATAAAAATATTGATCGGAGGCTAGCTCAAACGAGTCAGCGTAAACTTTTCGTCCTTTCAGCAAAATAGTCTCAGCCCGTCTCGCATTGATCCGTGGTGGATAAGATCAAACACGAGTAAATAGGAGCATACATGATTTCGGTAACCTACCTTCTCCATTCGACTAAGATGGTTGGCTTTGTTGTAAAATGGTCAATCTGCATTTAAGAGGTCAAGAGCTTGATTTAAGTTGTGAAGGAACTTCTTAATGGCTCACACTACTTTGTCTAGTTGTGGCATAATTCTTAAAATTAAAATTAATGTCCGTGCAACACAAATCCAAGCTGCAAGAGCTAAAAAAAAAGTGGGACGAGTGTGGTTGCACCTTCTCCGGTGACTTCTCAGAAATTGTCTTAAGAAAGTAAACGAATGAGATTTTAGTTTTACTAAGATGCTACCGTCAATTAGTGCCCTCTTACCAAAAAAAAAACGTCAATTAGTGCCCGGTATTCAGCGAACATCACATGCTCTAGCTTTAATTAAATTATTTTTGCGGCCTTGCATTCTCTGCCATGCATCCCTTGTTGAAGCATCACGCAACGCTCAAATTTTTGTCTAGATGTTACAAAAATACTGACACATGTTATAAAACGTGGCCACCAATTGTGAGCTGTCGAGACCTAAGCATAATTTATCGTGCCATCGCTGAATAAAGATCTAACATTACTATGATATTTTAGGTGCGCGAACGTGTGGTTTTATAAATCAAGTCAACCTACTCTGTCAACTTAAAAAATCACCTTTAGGTCGTTCCGTCTCCCTAAATTAAAGAACGAGCCATCTTGGTTTACTTCACCAGCTATTATCCACCTCAAGTAGCTTCCATCTTACTGACTCCATTATAAAGAACAACCCATCTTTGTTTACTTCACTCATTCCAAAACAAGTAGACTCACTTCCAAGTCCTTCGCTATCGGACTTTCCACTTCAGAGAATCAGCATCAGCATCAACCCCCAGACCCAACACCATTTTTTTTTTCTCAAGTCCTGCCTTCTTTTTTCTTCAGGTTCTGTTCTCTATCTCCCGACTCATTGCTTCTGTTCTTCGATGTTCTTCGTGTGTACCATATTCATCTGAAATCTGCGGTCTAACAAGGCTGCTTCCGCAGTTTTTTAAGTTCAGTCGTTTTGACATTTCGGGAAACTTTCGAATGAGTTGATCTAGATCTGTTTCTTTGCTAGTTGATGTGCACTTTGGGGGATATGTGAATTAGCGTTGGCTTGGGTCTGCTGGTTTTTTAGAAGCAATTGATGTAAAACTAGTAGGATTGCCAGCTTCTGTAGAGTGGGCTTCTGCATAGCCTGCATTTCCAAAACCAGTTTCTCTAGATTCTGATTCTCCATAACCAGCTTCAACAACAACGTAATCTTCAACTGGGGATCATCAAAGATGACAAGAATAGACTCTTCAAGCGTTTTGGTTCTTCACGGAATACCATATATGCTTCGTTAGTAGAAGAGTATCCAAGAAAAATACCTTTATCTGACTTAGATCACTAGCATGCTTAAGAGAGCAAGCACAAATGTGAGAAACATTGGGCTTCCTACCTTCGTAAGCTCAAAGATAGTCTTGCCAAATATAGGTCGCAAGGGAATACGTTTCTTAATGAGGTGTTTATGGCCTCTGCTCAGAAATGCTTATAAATTTTGCTTTCTACCAACAAAATACGTGCCATCTCTTGCAACGTCCTATTTTTCTTGTCAATGACACCATTTGTTCTTATGCGTAAAGTGTGGAAAAATCGTGCTCAATGCCCATGCTCATCAAACTAAGATACTAAGTCAGGATCACTTCTAATGCGTGAAATGCTAAACTTATTCTCATTTTGGACTTCTTACCACGTTTAGCAATCGCATGCACAGTATCATGCTTATGAGCTAGAAAAAAAACCGGAATAATCTAAATTGCTTTTTCTTGCACAGGCAGTCTCAAAAAAGAAATACATACCTGTTTATAGAATAAATCTACTTGCTAAAGATAAAAAAAAAAAATCACACCTATATCATTGTCTGAAACCTACTCGTGTAACTACCTTTCTACACCGCTAATTGTCAGAATAAAATTCCTCAATAAGGCTTTTGATACACTACTTGATCCATAGATATAAATGAGATCTTCTATTTACTATTTTATGACAACATAGGTGTGACACTATCTTCTTTATGGACTTGACAACCTAATTGGGGATCAGTTTATATGCATACACAATTGAGGGCCGGCCTCACAGGCGGCCCATGACCTCCACCGGCCCTCGTTGAGCCGGTGACCAGCAGAGAGAAATAAGGAAAAGAAGAAAAAAAGATAAAGGAAATAAAACAAAATGGAAAGAAAAAAGAAAAAAAGGAGAAAAGGAAAAAAATTCAGAAAATTTCAAAAAATTACAAAAATCGTTCACT